TTGCCTTAATACTCGGGCAAATTGCATTTGGGATTCCTAGGCCCACAGAGTGAGGTATTGCAGGGGTGCACGGCCTACCCTTACTATAGTGTTCCTCCTGTGCAAATACCCACAAAAGTTATCAGTAAATTTAACCACTGGCAAGAATTGCACTAGTTGAAACTGCTAAATCTCATTCTGTTGGCCACTGAAATGCTCTCCCTCTCTCACCTTGTCTGTGCAAGGTTTTGCAATGTTAGCAAATCTACAAACAAACCTTCTGTAATGGGAGCAGAGTCCTACTGACCTGCACCTCCGCGAGTGGCTGGGGAGCGGGCCAGCTCCACGCAGTCTCAGTTTTGTTTTTTTCAGTGGAAATTCCCCATCACCAGTTGTGTGGCGGACATAAGTTACCTGCTTTTGGAACAACTCCCTTTCCTTTGGGACCAGTTACAGACTGTCAGCCTTGAACTTATCACAAGCCATGTGTAACTGCACCTACCACTTCTTGTTCAAAGGTCTTGGCATGCACCCATAAATAGCCTAAGCCCAACAGACCTCCTGAAAGGCTGAGGCCATCCAAGGCCTCCTGTGGGTATGGTGTGCCATACCTTCCCCACCAGCCTCTCCAGTGTAGCTGGTGCATTTCATAAGCCCCTGAGCATCACTACGCTGCCAGATCAGGCTTTGCTGAGAAAGCAGTTTTCCCCATCTTTCAGCTCTGCTTCTGTCAACATACAGCTTTCAGATCTGTCAATGACCAGACTGAACCTAGTGGCATCATCCAAGGTATCTTCATTCACAGACACAGCTTCTTTACAGTGACTTCAGAGGGGGGACTTAGGGGGAAAGTTGTTTTACTTGTTCCTGGTTGCTGCTCCTGAACACATTCAGCAGACAGACGGGGATCATTTCTGTTTCACATCTACAAGATCTAACCGACCTATTAGGAGGCAGGACAGCTCTTCATTGCAGACCACCTACCTGCAAATAATTTGCTTCACTTGAAACACACCTTTAAAGGGAATTTCCAAACTGACGGGGTAAGGCACAGTTCCTGGTGTTTATCACACGGTTACAGCCACGGGGCACTGAGGACAACATCACACCTGACTTTTTGCTCCAGTGCCCCTGTTTCACCAATCTGACTTTCCCAGGTTTGGAAGTGTCTACACTCTCCTGTCACTACTATCCATTTCAAGCTGATTAGCTTGGCCACCATTAGACCAAGTGCCACTCTAGCTTGGCTGGTCTGGCAGACTTTGGGCCATCTCTGTTACTATCAGCCATTTCACATGGCCTAGGAGTGCCTCCGTGACCAGTGTCCCCCTTGTAAGGTTTTTGTACCAGTCCTGCACAAAAAATGTGATCCTGACTCTGCCCCCCAAGCTGGATCTACGCCCATTTCCCCATTTTGCAACACTGCGAAGGCTTCATTGCACATTGTGTCTTGTGTTGGCCCATTGCCTTCCCACAGTCAGGTTATTTTATTTCTGCCTCTGAACTCAGCTGCGTTTTTGCATGGCCTCTGTCTCTCTCGTTTTACATACATTTGGTACCTGTGACACTGTCTGAAATAGAAAGTTCTCTTTTCTTCTCTCTGCGTTAGCCACAGAGCTGCGCTGACAGGACTCCCGGTGACTGACCACCTTCTCACCACTGTCTGCTTCCTGGCCCAAGGCTCTGCTGCAGCCCATGATTTAAGCACTTTGGCAAATTCCTCTGCCTCTCACGGCATCTTTGGCTTCCCATTAAACACAGAGATATCGTTTCTGGCTTGGGAAGTCTCTGCACAGTGGGCCACCGGGACCTGGGAGACCGGCCTGGGGAGCTTTCATTACATGCAGGCTCTATTTGTCTGCTCCTGCAGAGGCATCTCCTGCTGGACTCTGGGACAGCTGGACCTTTCTTCTGACCCAGCTCAGGTTTTTATGTGCTCTTGTTTCATTTTTTCCCCTGGTCTCAATCAGGTCATCCCATAACTGAAAAATCTATTAATAGGTCAATGTCCAATTTACCCTGGAAGTCTTCAGTAATACCTTGTTATTCAACCAAAATGATCCAGTTCCTTCAGCTGAATTCTCTTTGTCCCCGGCTTTGTAGCACATGGCTGACCAGCCAGCTCTCTCTAATTTGATGGTTGATTCTAGTCATACAGCCAGCCTAGATAATACAGTCTTTTCTCCTGAAGGCAAGTACCCGCTACCGTAAGAGCTGAACCCGGCAAGTTGGCTCCTAGGCACCCTACTTCAGAGCCATTCCCTTATGCTGTGGTTATGAACTGAGTTGAATAAACCTCCCAGAAGTATTCTCCTCAAAGACCGTGGCTTTTGCACTGATTCAGCTGGGATAGACAGTCTGATTCCTTCCTCCTGCAGACTGAAAATGGTGGCGAGTGTTTGGTAGTAGGCGGTGTTCTGGCTAGCCCCTTGTCTACAGCAGGAGGCTGTTTTTTCCTGTGGTGACCTGCAAACCTTTGATTTCCTTTTCTGCGTGATTTTTTTCAGTTTCTTAACTCTTTGCTGTGGTTCATCTTGGCTTGTAAATTGGCCAAAGCTTTTCTTGCGCCTCCTATTTTCTGGAAAACATTCTTTTCCATGGCTGTCATGCTGCTGATCACCTCTTTGATGCATCTTGCCATTTTAAACTGGGAATCTTCCAGGAGAATTTCGCACTCTCTCTGGACACTGAAGCCTTTTATCCTTGTCTGCAGGTGACCTCTTATAAACCTCTCTTAGAAGCTTCCAGATGTTGCTTGAACTCCTTTTGCAAAGTCTCCAGCTGTCTCGGCTCATGTTTTGCATCTTTTGGTCGTTTTCGATTTCCGTTCCCACTTGGTTCCAGCGGAATCCCAGAATTAGGACTTCTCCTCCTAGAAGCCGAGTCTCACTCCGGACATTGTTTCCATAATTTGAAGACTTGCAGGTTGTTCCAGAGAGGATGAAGCTGGCAAAGATGCTCCAGAAACGCTCACCCCCTACTCCCCACCCCATGTATTAGTTACAGAAACCACGCAAAGCCCTGCTTTCCTGCCCATGGGAGGGATCAGCTGGAGGAAAGTGTCTTTTTCTTTCAGAGTTCAAGGTCCCTTTGAGTCAGCACTCCCCCAAAAGATCTCCATGTGCTTTATGTCAGGGTTAAGCTCTTTCTTTTATTTGGGCTGTGCCTCCAGTTTTCTTGATGCTTTCCCAAAGACCAGTCCAGTCAGGAGGAGAGGAATTTCATGCTGAAGGTGCCTGTTTCTCCCCACTGACTAGCAAGAGAGCCTGCAGCTCCACCTTAGACGCCCAACATGGATGCCTAACTTGAGGCAACCAATGCCACCCTGCATGGCTAACTACTGCTGGCAGATGCCAACACCCTGCAAGTGTCACCTGCAGCGTGCAATGGCCCTGCCCGAGGGAGCAGGTCGATATAGTCCATCCTGCGTAAGAGTTTGCTTTTCTCACCAGCAGCAGATTTCTCCCAACAAGCTCTGTGGCAGTCCACGAGCCTCTCCTTCTGACCCCCCCAAACATAACCTATAGGTATGTGGCATACATTTATGTTGTTTATTTTTAGCCCCCGTTTTAGTTGCACTGACAGTGTGAAAATGTCATCAGGTTAACAGGGAAAGAGCCGTGTAAGCCTGCAGTGCCACTTGCTTGCCTGCCAAGCAGGAGCCTCTAACACCTCATCAGAGCCTTCGCTGCTCCTAAAACCTCATTCGCACTTTACATGTGGGCAGTGTGGTTTCAGCGGCACCCCCCTCACCCACCCACCCACCCCCCCGCACATAAAAATCACGAGTTGCCCTCCTGATAAGATTACCTGTAGAGCACGTTCGTTAGAAAAGAATGATGTGAGGCTCTTGTCTCTCTTTTGGCTGGCGGGAGAGCGCTTTCTGCTTTGGGGGGTAATTCCCTCCCAGCTGCGGTGGGAGCCCCAAACTGGCCCCGTCCTCAGTGCGGGACTGGGAGGGGGTCACGCACCGCCCGGAGCCGGACCCCGCGGCAGGGTGGGGGGGAGCACAGCCGAACCAAATGGAAAGCAAGCGGTCAGGGCTGGCATGGGGGGGGGGGGATATAAACACATCTCTGTGGATCGCCTCAGCTGACACCTCCCGCCGAGAATAACCGGAGAGAAAGCCGCCAGCCCGGCCCTGCGGCGGGGGCTCCTCTCCCCCCGCACGGCACGTGGGGACGGGGCCGCCGCACACCCCCCCGTGTGTGTGCCGTGCGTGTCCCCCCCCCCCCCTGCACACCCCGC